ACTCCGTGTCAAAAATAAATATCAACCAACAAGCAGCAGGGAGGTAAAAATTCTGTATGATAAGCTTGGAGAAAAATAAGTTAAACTATAGTTATATTTAACATTGGTATTTTTTTTATCCTTAGATATTTCCTTGTTTTTAAAGACAAGAATTAGATAATTAAATAGTTTTATTAAAAGTGTTAATCTATAAAAGAAATTGATCATGATTATAAGAGTTAGACGCACCATGTTACAGCAATGAATAACAGTTAGAAAATAAGGCAGATACCAAACTAATGGTTTCACTTTTTTACAAATTAAGTTGAAGGAGTAGTCGTTTCAATATAAAAATAACATAAATACAAACCCTATTCTGTATTTTTGAATGAGATAAAGAAAACCAGATAACTTTACGATAGAATACATACTGACTTGCTCTTCTACATTTCTAATTAGATGAAAAAATATATATCTTAATAATTATTATATCTGTTTTCTTTACTGTAAAGGTTAATTTTACATCTTTGTCATCAATTCAAAAGCATTTTTTTTCAAAGTCAAAGAGTCAAAATTCAAAACAATAAAATAATAACATGGTAATAATAATTGACCACCTGACTTTCCGGAAGGACCACCTAAATTTCAAATCTAGTGGTCCGGCTTACCACCTGCTAAAAAAAGTTAGTGTCGAGGCCTGCTATATACAGGTGGTATTCTCACTTTACGCCATCGTCATGCCTGTATTAGGTTGGCAGGTGCGCACAGTCACTGGCTGCGACCTGACTGGAATACTGTCCTGTTTTCAGACGAGTCTCGTTACAATCTCAATCATGCTGACGGGCCGTGTAAGAATTTACCGTCAAAAGGGGAAGTGTTTGCACCTGTCTGTGTTAGACAGCATGATCGTTTCGGTGGTGGAAGCGTCATGGTATGTGGCGGGAAATGGGTTGACAAAAGACCCAGCTTATTGTTATAACACAGCAACTTAAACGCCCAGAGATACATCAACGAAGTCTTGAATGCCAAGGCTATTCCGTTTATGCAAAGAAACAGTCCTGTTTGTGTTTCAACAAGACAACGCCCGTCCTCACACGGCAAAGGATAACTCACGCTCGCTTAGCTGCAGCCAACGTCAATACCATGCAAAGGCCAGCAATGTCTCCAGATATGAATCCCAATAGAGCATATCTGGGATGTGCTTAGCAGAAAATGTCTGACGAACATCACGCCCCACAGAATATCCTCCATCTGACAAATGCATTGATAGCGGAATGGAACAATCTTCCAAATAACATTGTTCAACATTTCGTTGATGTGTTGACGCACTCCTTAGAGCCAGAGGTGACCACAGCTGATATTGAAAAATTGCATGCATTTTAAGACTGTTTATGAAATGATTAAAACCTATCTGCACGTAGTCAAAACGTTATAGCCACAAAATTGATAAATTAAATTTGACCCTTTCCTTAGAACTAGCGTAATTTAACAAACTTAATCATAATTAATAAACAACAAAATGCATATCAATGTTGTGCATGCATCTCTTTTTAATGCCCAACATTTGTTTTTACATTTCCGTCATCGATTTCCTGAAAATAATAATAAAATATACGCTGTCAGGTTTCTATTTTTGCTGAGTGTAGTACTCACTGACTCAGATGACCCCAATTGATTTTGGGGCCACTAGGTCAAAATGGTCTCCACAAAGTCTTCACATTGCACATACTGATTGTTCATATGTAGTAGATGACCTGTAAATATTTTTGGGTCACTATGTCAAAGTTCAAGGTCATAGGCGCATTAAATGTCAGAATGGTTTACGCTCATTATCTTGAAAACTATTTATCGCAAAGTTTTCACATTTCACATACTGATTGTTCATATGTACGGTAGTAGATGACATGTATAAATTTTGGGGTCACTAGGTCAAAGGTCATGGTTACAGGGGCCATAAATGTCAGGAAGGTTTCAACTCATTATCTTGAAAACTATTGAGTCTTCATTATTCATATACTGATTGGTCATAACTAGTTTGATGACCTCTATAGATTTTTGAGGGTTACTAGTTTAAAGGTCAAGGTCATAGGGGCCTTAAATGGTCAGAATAGTTTCCGCTCATTATCGCGAAAAAACTGTTTATCACAGTCTTCATATTTCACATATTGATTAGTCATATGTAGTACATGACCCCTATTGATTTAGGCATCACTTGTTCGGAAGGTCAAGGTCCTTTAATGCCAGAATGGTTTCTGCTCATTATTTTGAAAATTATTTATCACTTCGCCTTTATGCTTCACATATTGGTTCAGGTTATAAATTTAAAGGGATGGCCCCCAATAGATTTTGGGTCTAAAGGTCAAAGGTCAAGGTCACAGGGACTTTATATGACAGAATGGTTTCTACTCATTATCTTCAAAACGACTTGTTTCATATTTTTTTATTGATCATCACTTGTATATGACCACAATTGATTTTGAGGTCATTAGGTCAAAGGTCAAGGTTACAATAACCTTGAATGTTTAAATGGTTTTTGCTTATTCCCTTGACCTCAATTAGTTACCAAGTCTTCATATTTCACACATTGATTGGTCATAACTAGACACTTCCATGTACATTTCTATGACAATTTACCAATAGTTTGAGTCAAGGGCTTGAAAGAGGGCTATATGTGTCGTTTGACATTTCTTGTTTATTTTCTTATTTTCTTATTAGTTACTATAAATGGTATATATTTGAAAATTGTTATTTTATGCCACCGCAGCATCTGCGATGTGATGGCATATATAGCAATTAACCTGACTGTGTGTGTTTGTGTGTATGTACAGTCAAATGTGTATTAAGCGACCGGGCAAGGGAAACACCCAAAACGGTCGCTTAATGAAACGGTCTCTTAAGACAGTCAGCGTAATATAAAAGTCAAAATTTATAAATGACATCTTTTTTATTCGGTGGGATTGTTTTCAACTTCATTTTTATATAAATGTTGAAAAAAGTACGCTCCGATAATCTAAATGGATGCAAATGTAAAAATTAACTTTCTGATATTTATTGACAAAACAGTTTCAAGATCCATAACGTACATGTTTGACATTTTTTCCAGAATTTTTTAACTTCTCCGTTGTTTTTCCTTGTCTCCAACACGAAAACCCTATTAGTGAAGACGTTTTCTGTTGTGCATTTTTTTTTCATTTGAAATAAACAAACTACATCTATTTGTTACGATTAATTTAATGGCTGATCAAGTTCAAGGTCAATTCAATGCAGTCTAAATGTCAACAAGCGAAGCGTATACACCATCTCAGTATGGGCGGAGCGTTGCATTGTTTATCCGATATTATTGGATAATACACGTCACGCGTATACTTAACTTCATTTGCATACGCTAAAACGGTATGGGAAATAGAGTTTTTCACACGTTTATTGTTGTGTTTTGATTGTTGACACTTGTGACTTAACGAGGTGGCGTTCTCTAAAAACACAATTACTTGACAGCTAAAAGTGGTCGTTTAATGAAAAGATTGATGTCAATTAGGTGACTAATTAGCGGTCGCTGGTCGCGTTGAGCAAAAGTCGCTTAATACATTAAAGATATAGAGAGAAAATGATCGGGGAATTTAAAGTGGTCGTTTAAGACAAAAGTCGCTTAATGCACGTGGTCGCATGGGCAAGTTAGACTGTATGTTTGTGTGTTATATATAAGATTATATAGTGAACTTAAAAAACTTCTTGTGAAAAACCACTCGTCCATTTTCAACCAAACTTGGCAGGATTGATTCTTGGGTGAAGGACTTCCAAAGTTGTTTAAAGAATTTCATTTCATGCAGAAATCTGGTTGCCATGACAACCAAAAGAAATTATAAGAATAAATTTAAAAAATCTTCTTGTAAAGACCGACAAGGCCTAGAGCATATATATTTTGCATAAGGTAGACTGAAGGTACAAGGCTTAAATCTTTGATATTTGGTATATGATATTATCTATAGGTATATACTCTACCAAAGTTGTTCAGATTTTGCCTGTAGTGTCAAAATTAGCCCCACCCTGGGGGTCATAGGTTTTCCTTATATGTATATAGTAAAAACTTAAGAAATCATCTTCTTTAAATTGACAAAGGCTACAGATTAGATATTTTGCATGAAACATTGTGTAGTGAACCTTTACAAGATTGTTTAAATTATAGCCCTGGGGTCAAAATTGGTCCTGCCCCGGTGGTCATTGATTTTGAGTATCCACCTTGTATTTCGCTGGCACATTCCTCTTTGCTGAACAAAAAAGCCTCCAGAGCTATAAATAGAAAAATATTGTCTGGCTTTCACAGATCAAACTGCTGATGGGATTTCAATGAAACATCACAGGGGTGATCAGTTGCATCCCTTGCTGTGCATATTCCTGTCATGTTCTGCTTCGCTGCACAAAAATGCTGCCAGAGCTAAAAAAAGAAAAATCTTGTGTGGCTTTCACAGTCAAACTGCTGATGGGATATCAACATAATACTTAACAGGAGTGATTAGTACCATACTTAGTTTTGGGAGACATATGTTTTGATAAAATTACCCCATCTAGTTCTTAAGTTTAAAATCTTTATTTCAAGATTTATCTGTACTTTTGCTTTTAAAAATATTATAGTCTGGTTTAAAGATTTACCTTCTTTCTGTCAGTTCATCTGTCTGTCCATCCCTGAAAACTGTTTTCTGAGATCACTTTTAAAGAACTTTTCCAACAAATTTACCTACAATAGAGAAAAGTTGAAACATTAGTTATACATTATTCCTCCAGAGAAAAGTGGATCTTTTGATTATATGGATCTTTTATTATAAACATAATTCCCTTATTTGACAGGGAAATTTAACACATTACTATGATAAACTAAAAATTCAAAAGATATAAGTTCAATAATGTCTTCTACAATGGCATACTTAAATGGCCATTGCCCTTCAGACTGTTTTTGGGGTTCCAACTGGTAGGGCACATTTCAATCATTTGTATTGCTTCCAATATTTTGATAATTCTTGTTACAGGTGGACCTTTGACAGTGACAGATGCTAACCTGTGCCTCAACAGACTTTTACCACAATACTTCCCTAAAATATTTGGGAAAACACAGGACCAACCTTTAGATGTGACAACTACAAAAGAAACATTTGTTAGGTTAACACAAGAGGTATATAATCTCACCTGTTGATTAGCTTGACTTTTTTTTTACAAAAGGAAAAAAAAAGATGTATTGTTACAGAAATGGCGGCGTTGCTGTACCCAAACTTAAAAGTTGATAACTTTTTAAGTCCTTATTGTAATGTGTTCATACCTGGCGACTAAAATGCTGTTGACAAGTAGAACAGACTATACTTGACCTTCTTTCATATGGAGGGCATTTGTTGCCATAATTCCAGAAATGTTAATTGTTCTTTTTGAAAACTACTTTTTAAAATGCGAACGTGTACATGTATGCCTAGCATTTTTAGTTCACCTGTCAAAAGACGTCCGTCTGTAAACTCCTCATAAACCACTAAGCCAATTTCATCCAAACTTCATAGGAATGTTCCTTTCGTGGCCGCCTTTAAAAATTCTTCAAAGAATTTAATTCTATGCAGAAGCATGGCAACCAAAAGAAAAAACTTAAAATATCTTCTTTAAAAAACCCCCAAAAAGATAGAGCTTAGATATTTGGCATGAAACATCTTCTAGTGAATGTCTATCAAGTTTGTTCAAATAAAAGCCCTGGGGTGAACATTGGCTCCACCCCAGGTGGTCATTGCTTTTCCTTATATGTATATAGTAAAACCTTAAAAAATCCTCTGTTAAAAAACCTACATAGATAGAGCTTAGATATAAAGCATGAAACATCTTCTGCTGAGTGTCGGCATAAAGGCCCTGGGATCAAAATTGACTCTGCCCCGGGGTACTGATTTTCCTTACATGTCTATAGTTAAAACTTAAAAAATCCTCTTTTAAATAACCCATAGAACTAGAGCTTAGATATCTACCAAATCTGTTCAAATAAAAGCCCCAGGGTTAAATTGGCCCCACCCCGGGGGTCTGATTTTCCTTATAATATTATGTGTATAGTAAAAACTTTAAAAAATCTTCTTTTAAAAAACCCAAAAAGCAATAGCTTAAATATTAAGCATGAAACATCTTCAAATGGGCGTCTTTAAAGTTTGTGGAAATAAAAGCCCTAGGGTCAAAATTAGCCCCGCCCCAGGGTGTCATTGATTTTCCTTAACTATACATGTATTTAGTTAAAACTTAAAAAATGTTCTTGTGAAAATCCAAAAGAGCTAGAGCTTAGATATTTTGCATAAAACATCGCCTAGTGGGTGTCTACCAAGTTTGTTCAAATAAAATCCCTGGGGTAAAAATTGGCCCGCCCCAGGGGGTCATTGTTTTTCCCTATACATGTATGTACATGTATATAGTAAAATTTTTAAAATCTTCTTTTAAAAACCTCAAAGAGTTAGAGCTAAGATATTTAGCATAAAACATCTTCTAGTGAGTGTCTACAAAGTTTGTTCAAATAAAAGCCCTGGGGTGAAAATTGGCCCTCCCAGGGGTGGGGGGGGTCATTGTTTTTTCCTATATGTATATAGTAGGAACTAAAAAAATCTTTTGTTAGAGCTTAGATATTTATCATGAAACATCTTCTAATGTTCTATCAAGTATGTTCAAATAAAAGCTACTGGTATAAAATTGGCATTGGTGAGTGATTTCAGGGCTTTCATGGCCCTCTTGTCACAAAGTGACATGGTGAGCTTTTGTGATCACTTTTCGTCTGGCATCAGTCCATCTGTTAACTTTTACTTTAAACAACATCTCCTCATTAACCGCTAAGCCAATTTGATCCAAACTTCCCAGGAATATTCCTTTGGTGGTCATCTTTAAAAAGTGTTGAAAGAATTTAATTCTAGGCAGTACTCTGGTTGCCATGTCAACCGACAGAAAAAACTTAAAGAATCTCTTTTTAAAAAACCCTAAAAGAGGTAGTGCTTAGATATTTAGTATGAAACATCTTCTAGTGAGTGTGTATCAATTTGGTTAAATAAACGCCCTTAGGTCATAATTGGCCCCAGGGATGGGGGGGTTAGATATAAAGCATGAAACATCTTCTAGTGGGTGTTTACAAAGTTGTTCAAATAAAAGCCCTGGGTGAAAATTGGCCCCGTCTGAGGGGGTCATTGTTTTTCCTTATATGTATATAGTAAAAACTTAAAAAATCTTCTATTAAAAAACCGGAAGAGCTAGAGCTTTAATCTTTGGCATGAAACATTGTCTACTGGGTGTCTACCAAGTTTGTTCAAATAAAAGCCCTGGGATCAAAATTGGCCTCGCCCGGAGGGGTCATTCCTTTTCCTTGCATAGTAAAAGATTGAAAAATCTTTTTTTGAAAAAACCCAAAGACCTAGAGTTTAGAAACTGACCATGAAATATCTTTTACTTATCTTTTACTGACCATGAAATGTCTACAAAGTTTGTTCAAATAAAAGCCCTGGGGTCAAGCTGAGCTAGCCCATTGTGAGCTTTAAGGATCGTTGAATGTCTGTCGTCTGTTGTCAGTCGTCCCTCCACATTTGTTTGTTAACACTCTAGTGGTCACAGTTCTGCCTCAATCTTCATCAAACTTTGTCAGGGTGCTTGTCTAGGTAATTGCTCAGATGAGATCTCGAATGAAAAACTAGGTCACAGGTACTAAAAAAAAGAAAATCTTTTTAACACTAGTGGCTACTGTTTTGATCCAAATATCCTGAAAATTGGTCTGAAAGTTTGTTTTGATAATTTCTACGTCAGATTTGAATATGGGTCACCTTGGGTCAAAAACTTGGTCACACCGCCCAAATATGAAAACACCTTGTAAACACTCTAATGGTCACATTTTTGACTCAATTGTCATGAAACTTGACCAGGATGCTTGTTTAGGTAATTGCTCAGATGAGTTTGAACATGGGTCATCTCGGATGAAAAACTAGATCACAGGAGCTAAAAACAAAAAAATCTTGTTATCCCTCTAGTGGCTACTGTTTTGATCCAAATATCCCAGAATTTGGTCTGAAAGTTTTTTTTGATGATTTCTAGGTCAAGTTTGAATATGGGTAAACTGGGGCCAAAAACTAGGTCAAACGCCCAAATATGGGAAAACCTTGTTAACACACTAGTGGTCACATTTTTGACTCAATTTTTATCAAACTTGGTCAGAATGCTTGTCTAGGTAATTGCTTGAATGTGTTCGAACATGGGTCATCTCGAATGAAAAACTAGGTCATAGGAGCTAAAAAAAGAAAAATCTTATTAACACTCTAGTGGCTACTGTGAACCGCCTCCGTGGTCGAGGGGTTAGAGTTGATGACTTCTAATCCAGTTACCTCTCTGGCGTGGGTTCGATCCCCAGGAGATGCTTTCGTAGTTAAGCATGGAGGAAGGAAGTCTAGTACTGGTGTAACTCTCCAGGAATGATGGTTAGGAAACTACCCGCCTATACGACTGAAATAGTGTTGGGAAAAGGCTTAAAATGAAACAAACAAACAAATAAAAGTGGCTACTGTTTTGAGTTCATTATCCTGGAAATTAGTCTGAAAGTTTGCTTTGATGATTTTCTTGGTGAAGTTTGAATATGGGTCCTCAGGGGTCAAAAACTAGGTCACACTGCTCAAATATGAAAAATCCTTGTTAAAACTTTTTTGACTGACCTGTCATGAAACTTTGTCAGGATGCTTGTCTGAGGTAATTGATCAGATGAGTTTGATGTGTCAGGTGAGCGATCTCGGGCCATCTTGGCCCTCTTGTTAGAGTTATTGCCCTTGACTCATTTATTGCCCTCAGCATGTGAAGTTGTGCACCTGGGGTTTTGCTAGTGGATTTATTCTGTTTCGTTAGAGTTATTGCCCTTGACTTATTGAAAGTTTGCAATTTCAATTCGTGTGGCATGTAGCTCAAAAGTATTTGACCAAGGGTCATGAAACTTTACAAAAATGTTGATCAGCATGTGTAGTTGTGCACCTGGGTATTTTCGTGTTGATATATTTAGTATTTTTAGAGAAATTGCCCTTGACTTAGTAAAGGTTTGCAATTTTCAACTTGTGTTGCACCTAACTCAAAAAGTATTTGAGCTAGGGTCATGAAACTTTGCAGGAATGATGATCAGCATGTGAAGTTGTGCACCTGAGGTTTCTCTTGTGAATTTTCAATTTGTGTTGTGCATATCTCTAAATTTATTTAATCTAGAATCATGAAACTTTACAGGAATGTTGGTCAGCATGTGTAGTTGTGCACCTTGGGTTTCACTTGTAGATTTATCCAGTATTTGTAGAGTTATTGCCCTTGACTTAATAAAAACCATTTCATTATGTTGTGTTATTTGTTCCTTGAGTGCTTGAGTTAGAATCAACCAACTTAACAGGAATAATGATCAACATTACTAAATTACAGGAATATTGACCAACATCACTGTGAAACTATGCACCTGGGACTTTGCATGTGGATTTTTTTCAGTTTTATTAGAGTTATTGCCCTTGACTTAAGTAGTATAAATTTGCAATTTTCAACTTGTTCATGCATAGCTCAAAAAGTATTTGACTTGTAGGCCTGAAAGTTTACAAGAATATTGGTCAGCATGTGTACTTATGCACCTTGGGGTGTGCTTGTGAATTTATTCAGTATTTGTAAAGATTTTGCCCGTTACTTAGTAAAAGATTTTGAGTTTTCAACTTGTGGCACATGTAGTCCAAAAAATATTTGACCTTCAGAGTCATAAGATTGACAGAACAGTGGCGTGTGGGGGCACCCGTGTCCTATGGACACATTTCTAGTTTTTATAAAGTTTTCTCAAATTAATTTGCTTTGCCCCATTCAAGGGGCTGCTTGAGCTGAAAATGGAAAGGAATCAAGAAACATGAGTCAAAATGCTTTACTTACCAGATGAACAGAAACAATAAACTTTGGACATTTGTGAAAGGTTCCTATCATTTTACTATGAAGAAGAAAAAAACAATCAATGTCGATAAATTTATAACTAGAGTCAGGCAAGTTGATTTTAAGCTGGACTTGTTTACAAGTTTATTTGCAAAATTATTTCTATAATCACTGATAACAATTGTTTCTGGTGAGCGATTTAGGGCCACCATGGCCCTCTGGTATAGTGTATATTTTGTGTGCAGTCCAAAATTGTTTGTA